CCCCGATAGCCCGCTTCAGCGGGCAGTCAGTAAAACTCCTTTCACCCCTACAGCCCGCTGTAGCGGGTATTTAGACAGTTTGAATTTTACCGCCAAATTTTTCATATACTGAAAGCAAAATACGAATCTGCGGCTTATAAATTAAAAGTAGCTATGTAAACAAACAAAAATGGATGCCAGATTGATGTTTTACGATTGTGGATGATGTAAATTGTGGCATTTAAACATTTTTTTTCTATGAAGTCGATTTCAAAATGTCGGACGTTGAGAGCGATTCGGACGAGTGGTCTGATGCTGAATATTTCGATGACTTGGGGGCATTTGATTTGGTAAATTTAAACGAAAGTGAAAGAGATCAGATAGAACGAATAATTGAAGATCGTAATTCTTCAGATGAAGAGGAAAATGAGGTGTACAATGGCTACACACCACCTGAAAATTTTGTTTGGACTGACGAGTTTTCGGTAAGATGTCGACTTCCGTATTCAGAGAAGCCAGGACCTGTTCGTGTGTTAGATAGTTCAGCATCTGTGCTCAATTACTTCCAAATTTTCTATTCGGACGAAATTTTTAATCATATTGTGGACAGTACGAACAGAAATGCCAATAAAAAGAGAAGAGAAGATGCTAATAACAACAAAGGTGTGTGGAATGATGTGACTATAGATGAAATCAAAGTGTTTTATGGAGTGTTGATCATGATGGATGTTATCAAGCTGGACAGAGATGATCTCTATTGGAAGGAGGATGAAAAGTACTTTATGTTGGGAACAAGAATATCAGATGTCATTAGCAGAGACCGGTTTATGCAAATCAGAAGGTATTTGAATTTTTCTATAAGTGAAGAAGATGGTTTGGAACACCGTAACGACAAGCTATCCAAAGTAAGATACATGCTCGATAAAATACGCAATTCTTTTAAATCTGAATACATTCCTCATGAAGAAATTAGTGTTGATGAATCTATGGTACCTTTTAAGGGAAGGTTGTCTTTTAAACAGTACATGAAAGATAAACCATGTAAATTTGGAATTAAATTCTGGATGCTTGCGGATGCCACTAGTGCGTACTGTTGGAATTTTGATGTATATGTCGGAAAGTACGGAACTGAAATTAATCGTACATTTGGTCTCAGTGCCCATGTTGTGATTGACTTGCTTCGTGGGTTAGAAAACAAAGGACACTGTGTCTTTACTGACAATTTTTACACTAGTCCTACATTAGCGCACTACCTGACAACAATTGGTACCTGTCTGTGTGGAACTGTCAGACCGAATCGTCGTGGGTTTCCACAGGATCTTGTAAAATCAAAATCAGAAGCTCGAAGACTTCCTAGAGGCTATTACGATTGGAGACAGTGTGATGACATGATCGCTACGTGTTGGAAGGATAAGAAAATGGTTTACTTTTTGTCTACGTGTCATATACCAGAAAAGGAAAACTTGACCGTGAAGCGGTACAATAAAGACGGAAGTACAACCGAGTTCCCAGACGTACCATCAGGAGCAGCATATTCTAAATACATGGGCGCCGTGGATCGCAATGATCAAGTGACAAAGTTGAACAAATCAAAAAAAACTATGCGTTGGTATAGGAAAATTGAAAGGAAACTCCTTGAACTTTCCATATACAATGCTTATGTCCTTGAGGGAAGTGTCGTTGAACATAATAGCCCTGGGAAAAGGAAGCGTGACCTTTTAAAGTTCAAATTGGATCTTGCGCATGAACTTATTGGGCAACGACGTATTCGCAAAAGGGCTGGAAGGTCTAGATCTGCAACATCGAATCAACTCCTCAGACTGGATGGTCTAAATCACTTACCTGATGTTGGAGAAGGGAAAGATCATGTGTGTGTTGTGTGCAATGAAAGGCATTTGAAATTCAAAGAAAGAAATCCAGGTGTCTCCTATGCTGAAAATCCATTCAAAAGGTGTAAAACCACAATTAAATGTGAAAAATGTGAAAAATATCTTTGCTGCAACACTAAAAACATGTGTTTCAAAGAGTATCATTCAAAAGTGTGTTATTAAATGTATGTTGAATGGACTTGGATTGATTGACAAGTTTATTGAATTGAAAAATTACCCAGTTTTACCTAAGTTTATTACCTGGTCACTTATATTCATCTATTTATTTATTTATTTAATTATTTATTTATTTATTTTTTATTTATATGTTATGAATGAAATTGAATATGTGTACCATGTTTTGTTGATTAATTATGAATAAAAACTTGTAATATCTATGTTTATTTTATTTCTCTTTTACAGCTATATTTATGCTGAATAAGATTTAGCAGCTAGCGTACAATATCAAAAGGTACATTACCATGATTACCAATAATTTAACTGTATACTCACCTGTAATTAGTTGTAAGCAGGTATACTGTCAAGACTCAATCTGACATTTCATTTGTTTTCAAATCAGGTCATTAAAATTGACTTGTTTATCATTTTTGAGTCCGATATTTTCTTTTGTGAAACTAACGGACAATAAAATCCAATCAAATAAAGGTATTTGGTTTTCACCTGGGAAATACAGGTAAATCAATTAAATTTGATGGATCTTAATTCATTCTAATCTTACATATATGCATCTGCCTTCCTTAAAGTAATTAAAATGGTATGGTAATGACAAAATCAGGTTACTTTTTAGATTTTTTTCAAAGGAATGAAATGTAAATGTTCATGACCATCTTATGTAACTTGAGTATAGCTACATTAATGTGTACCGGGTTTACCTGTGGTCACTAACAGGTAATTTACACCTGTTTACAGTCAAACTTTCTGTCCCTGTTGTTAAAATTGATTTGTTTACTCTGTTTTACACATGATTATAAAATCAGAAGTTAATAAAATAGTAGTTTTTATTCAAAATTAAAGAAAATTACAAATTTACCTGTTTCTCACCTGTGAAATACAGGTAAAAAATTACTTTTCAAAGCGAAAACCCCCAAAACATTAAAATTTAGTATTTTCCCTGTGTAAATATATATAGTTTTATATATCTTACTCTAAAAAGGAAAAAGATATTGACGTTTAAAAATTTTTTGTTATTATTTCACAACTTTTTCCAGATATTCAGTGTTCAATGGTATTTTACATAGAAATATATATAGGGATGAAAGAGGGATTTCACTAAAGATCAAGAAGCGCAATCGGATAAATTCCACATCATAGAAACAGGAAATCTGAGAGTAGAAGTGCAGTTTACCAACAATACGGTTAACACTATCAATTGTGTGGTGTATGCAGAATTCGATAACCTATTAGAAATTAACAAACAGAGAGAAGTGAGCATTGATTACTAAAAAATGGATACGGGACAATTGAGAGAAGTCTTATCCAGAGAATTCAAGAGTTCTTTTGGAGGCGTGTATCCTGTAGATTTATTACCGGATCAATTAAGACCTGGAGAAAAAGCTGTGGTGGTCAATACGGATCCTCAAGATCGACCTGGAGAACATTGGGTGTGTCTATATGTGAGCAATCCCGTGGTGGAATATTTCGATTCTTATGGATTTCCTCCCTTACAAAAAGAAATTCAAGATTTTATCCAGCGTCATGCTCAACAATGTATTTATAATCCGTATCGCTATCAAGACTGGAATACCGATGTGTGTGGACAATATTGCGTGTATTATTTACATCAAAGAGACAAGAAAAGAAAGAAAACCGACGAGTGGCTATTCCCCTTTGACCAGAGTACGGCTTTACAAAGGGACAGATACGTAGCGAATTGGTTTAAAAACACTTATCATAAATTACCTACGGGTCATGGACAAAAATGTCAATGTTTTTATCAAAATGTATTGTAAATGAGTTGTTTGTTGTTTGTTGTTACAAAATAAAGAATGAAAAAAAAATCAAAATCTGTGTTCTTTGTCTTGTGTTAGTGTTTTCAGTAAGTCCAGTTTGAACTGGTTAGGCTAGACTGAGCTTTTGACTGTGAAGCGTGACGTCATAATCTTGAATCGGTGCCAAGTATTTACCTATGTAGTCAGCATAAAAAAAAACGTAGGTAAAACGCATGTTTTGCACACGGCCCTTATTTTTCAAGGTGAGGGGGTATAAAAACAAGGTGTTAAAGACGATCCTCCTCAGTTGGGGGCATGTGGTTGAGTAAACGACAGTTTGGCAAGCGAATTCCTAGAATATTAGAAGACATGGAGATGGATAAAGATAAATTTGTCTTATTAGAAAAAAGAATGACGGAACCTATGGAGGGGGATCACGAAGCTCCTCAAACAAAAAGAAGAATAGAGTTGAAAACCCTGGATCCGGAACCTAAGAATGAATATTTACCCCTGGATGAGCCTGTGAAGGATCCTAATGATCCAGACAGATTTTACAGGACAGCCATTAATTGGACTTTCACCATTAAAGAGCCTAAAGAAGAAGAAGATATAGACATGTTTCTGAGCAACCAAGATGATTTCTTCTTCGGTTTCCAGTATTTGATTATACAAAAGGAAAGACATCCCTGGACAGGAGAACTTTCATATCAGGGGGGGTTATTAAATAAGGAAACCCGAAAGGAGGACTGACTATGGAATTCATATCACTGCTGATTTTGCCATGTCTCACAGTACCCCAGAATTGGAAAGTATGTTTTACAAACAAG